GGGAATAAAAATCAGAAAAATTTTCTTTTATATTACACGTCAAATCTACACTACTGAAACAACGGTAAACAAGCCAAGAGAAAAGCTATTAACACCAAAGGAGGAAAATAAAAAATAAAAAAACTCAAAAGAAAAAACTAGAAAAGACTCGAAAAAGATTTACTACAAGTGCTAATCGCAAGAACAAAAATGAATATCACAAAATTTTAATGTAATTAATGTAATTCTTACACTTTTACACCTTTAATCCTTTTATATTTTTACAAATAACCAGCTTTAAACGCGTATAAAACGATTAAAAAAAATTTTTAAGCAATAAAACTAACAAGAGCGTACGATCTCGCGCGCGTCAGTTGCCAGGAAAATATCTTCATAAGGTATGGCTTCCGGCAATCTTGTGGATCTGTCAATGCATGTAAGATATTGTCTTTAGTTTTTTGAAGAAGGTAGTAGACAAATGATGCCGAAGCTTATGTGTTTAAAAGGTTCTTCGGGGATATCTACATTACCGATTAGCGTTTTGCCATGTCTTCCAACTTTTGGATATGCCAACTGGCAATATATGCAAAATGTAATCTATTCTGTCTACTACTGATGGCCACACGAACCATTCAGTAATCATTTTAGTTAAAAATTTTAAGCCAGAATGTAGCAAGTTATGCATATTGTTATTTTTCTGCGAAATTTTGCGTGACGATTGGACATATAACAGATGGAGAGCAATCATAAAAGAGTTCTGAATTTGAATTTGGTAATTTGATTTTCTTCAAAACAAGGACTGATGTAAGTTTTCTAGGTTTCATCAGATTCTTGATTTCTTGCCAATCTTCCTTTTCTATGCCGATCGTGACAAAAAATCAATTGGTACATTATATTTTCTATTGATGCATCTAGTATAGGTACTGTGTTATCGAACATAGTCAACAAGTTGCCTTGGCGAAGCTTTGTCAAATCTTTGGCAGAGAGCAATTGCATCATATATTTAGATTGCTTTGTACAGTTTTAAATTTTTCAGGAGGCAGTCTGAGCGATTTAGAATAAACAAGAGGCCCCTTCGTTTCGATGTAATAAGCCATTGAGTGCTTAATCTCGGGTAAAATGATGCTGGTTGCGTAATGTGTCTTAACTCCGATAATAAAGGCTGAAATGGAGTATTTTCAGGATTTTGAGATACTTTTGACACAGAAAATGACGTTGTTGATTGACATGAAGCAAGGTGTATTGAACTTTGTTGTGTTTTCGATAAAACGTTTTCTTTTGGCGGCGGAAACTAATCCAAAATGTTCTAGGAAGTCAGAACGGATGATTGGTTCTCGAACATCTGCAATTATAAATTTCCATATAAACTGTCGTCTTAAATTAAGTTTTAAATGCATCTCTCTCCATAAGAGTTGAGGTGAGATAGATGGTGGAACTACCGACACATCAGCTCCTGTATCTATGAGGAATTTAACGTTTGAAAAATTGCCGCCTTGGACGAAGCATTTACTTATTGTTCGCTTCATTTTTGCATTGTACTCGACATTTGTTAGCCTTAGCACCAAACTTGAAATCGTACCAGCACAATCATTCGGATGCTGTAGATGATGCTATTATATTCTGACTGCGGCTTCTGTTTTGAATTCGATTCGATTGCGGTTTTGGAATTGGAATCGCTATGTTTTGATAACGCTAAGATTTGGGCCTGGATATGAAAAAGAATTTCCATCGAATGTTGAAAACATTATGCTTACTAAAGAGAAATGGAGGTGATAATGATCATGTGCATCATAACCACGCGTTTGTCTAAATTATATGGGCTGACGTGCAAAATCCCTTTAATCGTAGACGGTAAGTGCTGGAACCATAAAGGTTTCACCACTTCACGCCAGAATACCGGAGGTTTTTAATTACCAAGATGAACGTTTTCTAACAATTTTTGCAAACATTTTTCTCCGGAATTTTGAAATTCAATTAATAATGCCTTCTTTAAAGCTCCCAATAAATTTTGATACAGTGGATTTTCAATGATGTCAAGGATATCACTGAAGCAACTAAGGTATGATATGTGGTGGTGGATATAGTGGTATCCAGGGGAATTCCAGCTGTAAAAAATTAACAATTGACTGAACCAAAGGCGGAATTTAGTCTTTCATAAAGGTGAAATCTTCACAGAAACACGTAAAATGTGTGAAATGTTGTTTTGCTGCAATCGTACGTCACTTATTTCCTCGGATTTTGGCATTTTTATGATAATTAATAAGCGCACTAATAAGTAACAAAATGTTTAAAGATCAAGCAGAAAATGTGGTTATTTATTTGTTCGTTAGAGTAATCAACCTTCGTTGGGGTCGTCAATGGTACTGTTGATGTTTATTATTAGCCGAGAATACTGAAACGCTTACTATATAAAATATTTTAGTATAATCGTGTACGGAATGTCTGTGGGATAAAAATGCAAACATCATCATTACTCCCGAACTAGTTGACTCTTCAATGACCGTCAATCCGTATACAGCCTCTGAACTTTACACCATAGTTTTTATTGCACAAATTGTTTAGATACATAGGCAAATTTCAAAATGGACGATATGAGATCACAGCCGTCTGTGGTAATCATCCTAGAAATGGGGAATGAGCTTATCATTTGATGCAAATTCATTTCCCCGGGATATTTATAAATTGTTAATAGTGGCAGGGATGCACGCTGGGAAAATACTTGCCTGCCATTCGAATTTCAATTCGTGTAATTTTGGGATAGTAACCGTCGACTTGTGACACGGTACAGCTACTCTACTGTGAGTAACTGGCGTGCTAATTTTGAAGGCAATAATCTTGTGTCCAAATTTTCACATTAAATAGCGCATAGCCTTTTGATATTATTAGGAAGCAAGCTATCCCTTGCAGCTTTACTCTCTGAACATCAAATTTTTTTGGTGTTTTTTAGTGCCAACATCTCGTTTGTGCGCCTACGGCGCTTAGTATTGTCGACGCGGGTGCTATCTTGGGTAACATTAGCAAGCCATCAACAAAACATCAATTTCGGCGGTTGCTGTAGCACTTTTTAAGCCTACACTGGGTTTAAATAACATTTTGCCCGTCAAAAAGGCATATTTGGCCAATCCACAAGCTTCATATTTTTATAATGTTTTAAAAATTAGAGAATTAGTGTAACTAAATCTACTTCACGTTTTTATTAGAAATTACACCTATATGTCGGTCCCTGCAACTGTTGATCGCTGCGTTGCGTTAGTCTCCTGTGCCTAAAAAAGTAATAATAAGGCGTTCTCTTGTTTTAAACGCAGTACTCGAATAAATAATTAACAAAGAACACGAATGGTCTTAATCTTTGAAGAACTGTTTAGCCGGCAGCTCAATATTCATTTCAATTAAATGAAAAATTCCAGAAAAAAAAGCGACAGTAAATTCCAAGGCGTATATTTATTTTATGCAACTATTGTAATTCATTAACATTATGCACAAAAGCCACATTTCTAAAATATGATGTTCTAATTCTCTTAAATTTTGGTTAATATATTGCAAGAAGCTAAATTGCAAAAACACGATTTTAGAAAGAAAAACGAGGAATACTGTCATCATTTTTATCTGCTCAGTGGCAGTAAAAATAGTTTGACCTTCCCGTTTACCTTTCATTACTTATCAAAAAGTTATTTGCGATATTTCAAGAGGAAGTCAAACTTGCTTTTAATATTTTTTAGTTCTTAATAGATTTTAACAATCCTATTCTGGTCATCAAAATTAACAAAAAATTGTGTTTAAAAAATTCTCAACTATTTAGAATCCACTTTAACACAATACTCTATTATGGGGGTTTTTTCAGAATAAGCGATACAGGTTTTCAGCGATAGTGATTAGTAAATGGACTGTCTTGTTTGGACATTCTAATTGAAATAATCAAAAGCAGGCAAATGTATTTAACTCTTCGAAGTCTTCCGCTTGATTGCGACCGCACGGAAGAAGAGTCAGATCTAATAATCTCGAGGCTTTGATATCATGAATGGCATATTATTGCATTATTCGACATTGAACTTACTTTACCTGACATTAAATAGTGCCAAACAAAACTTTTAATTCTTGTAATTCTTGTACCATTTGACCAGACATTGAATAGCACTGAACAAGAGCTTTAAGCTTGTAAAACTAGCACGGAACTTATAATCTAATAAAACCCCCAAAAAAAAAAACAAAACGATTTAATTGAAATATTTCAATTCTACCCGTACGCTACTAACAGAAAATTACAGACAAAATCAATTTCTTGAGTTACAAGGTAAAATTTTGCGCCAGAAAATGTGGTAAAAAAATTCTTAGTGGAAGAAACTTTCATGAATAATATCCGCTTTCTATAGAAATTCGTCCTCGTAAAGAAATATAGTTAAAAATTCTCAATTCCTTGGGTGTCCCGGTCAATTCACTGAAGTTTCTGCTTGTATTAAAACTAATGTTCATACCTGAAGATTACTTTCAGAAAACAAGTTGGAAATACACACTCTTCTTCTTGGACATACCGAGCACATGAGCTATGATGGCCTGGTCGACAAGCTTGAAAAAGTTTCTTTTGCTTCCTACAAAAGGTGATGGAAAAGGCGAATTTAAAAGCACTGAATCGGATTTGCAGTTTGCAGACAATATTCTATATGTATTCTATTTGACGATTCAAAAACTGACTGATAAATTAAAATGAAGTAGGAAATTAAAATTAAAATTACTTATTTCCTTCTACACTACCACTGTACATGAACTTTTAGTACGAAAACTCATCCCGCTTCAAAAATAAAAGAAACCCACTAATTCTAAAAATACGAAAAACACAAATAACTTCCGTTTAAAAACAACAAACAAAATATTATACGTACCCGAGCAACTTCGAAAGCACTTATCTCTGCCATTTTGGTTTCTCCAAATGCTACTTTTTAATAATCTTGATGACTAGAATAAGATCGTTTGCTTAGATATTAATTTGCTAACTTTGCTGTTTTAATTACGTCTTTGTATGATAGCTGCTCGTGCAAAAATTTTGGGCTCAACGGAAATTCATGTAAAACGTGATAGCACTATAGCATTGGCCTGCTCCGTCAATATACATGCTCCTTCAGTAATATGGTATGAAAATAATGCATTCGTGCAATAAATCGTAGAATGCATGAACTCTTTTCAGGTACCAAGGGTCGTCGATTGTTGACTTCGATTCACTACGCGGTGGTATCAGTCTAGAAACAGAAAAAACGGATACAGGCACTACTAGTCGTTTAATGTTGACGCGAGCTTCTCTACGCGATTCAGGCAATTATACTTGCATGCCCACCGGTGCGATACCTGCTTCAGTGCGTGTACACGTTCTAACTGGTAAGTACAAATCTAGAAAATACTTTAAAGGAAATCTCACAGCATGACTTGATTCCTGCAGGAGAACAACCCGCCGCGATGCAAACCAGTAAAGGTTTGCACATTGCAAGAACGAAATTGGCTATTGTTACAATATGCTTGCTCACCTTAACTGCATGGCAGCGTTTCACATTTATTTCACATATGACGTCTGTACAATTTATTAACAGCAGGTTTTGGCAATTACAAGAAGAACAATTTAACGGTTGGCTCATATCTCGCAAGCAATGTAGCCATCAGCAAAATAAATGGCACCGTGCTGATCGACGAAAAAGTTGATTCGAAATTCATCATTACGTACCACACGCTGTTCTCGTAGTGAATTAATTGTATTATTTACTTGTCATACATATAAAAGCCACACAAATAAATATTCATACATTCAATAAAAATACTGAATAGAGAGACAAGCTGGAGCATAAACAGCAAAAGTTTTTGTAGAAAATCGTCCGTTTCCTGTGATGAGAGTTCAATAAATCGTATTGTTCAATTCAATTACTTGTGTTTCCCGTGCCTTTATTGCCCTCAATTTTGTTTATTACTTTAAGGGAAAAAGCTACTATAACACTCCGCAAAAAGAACAAATTTCTTTGACAATTTGTTTCGAATGAAGAGAAGGTAATATAATAATAACATTAGAAGAAGCGGTTAACCATATATACGCATATTTACAATGGGAGTACCGAGTACGATCGCTTTTAATTTTCGATATCCAAAAACGTAGTTATTTGTATGAAAAGACCTTCGGGTATTCAAAATCAGGTTTTTTATATTCTATTCCTTTCGAATTTTTGAAATGTCGATGCCATATATACACTTAATTCTCATTTTACATTTACAGTTACAACGCACATTTGTGAGAAGTGTGAATAAAACAATTCATAGAAACGTCAAAAAACAATAATAATATTCCTTGTGATTCTAAAGAAAAGAAAAAAACAACTAAATGTTTATAGACTAATACTATTGGTTTGGCGACGTTGATTGTTTAAATTTTTTGTTATAAAGCTGGAATTGTATATGGTTAAGAGGGTTATTTTATCAGTTAAAAGTAAAAACACGGAAAACAGAGGTGTTTACAGTTTTTGTTACATAGACGTGTGGGCGTTCATTAAAAAGTTTGGCTCATTTTTAACTTCTTTTGCAAGTTTGGGAGTCATATCTTCCACTGTGGTTTATGGAGCAAAAAACAACTTGTTTACTTCTTTAAAAAAACAGACGTGTTCTTAGCTCACATAGTAATATAGGGGTGTCCTGCAAACAGTTTTGTCTATTTTCAATACCAATCTACATGCAAAAACTTTCCAGGTTTTTGGCAAATTTGAAATCGATAGCTTCATTTTTGCGGCCAGGAGAACGATTACAACAGACATTATACAAATAGCCAGACGGACAGACAGAAATATATTTAGAATTTCATGTAGTAGATTAAGCATATATATACTTTGTGGAGTCTATGAAATTTTCTTTTGGACATTACTAAAGTTTTGACAAACTGAATATATCCCTTATCCCTTCAGTGACGTAAAAAATTCATCAGAAAAATTTACTAAAAACATTTATAAAAAAATGCATATAATATTGAAAATCGTGTTGAAACAAAACAATCCCTGTAAAAAGAGAACTTTTTCTTTTTAACTCGTGTTTCGCGAAAAAAAGCTGATATAAAACAATTTTTGTGTAAAGGGGTGTGTACCTTTCTGGCAATATGGTGATACTGTATCAAAAAAAAGAGTTTAGCTTGGCAGCGATCCAACCATCCACCCATTTTCGCAGTTCTTCAGTTTTCCAAATAGCGTGTCAGCCAAACCATGCTGCATCGATCTGAACAAGTGGGAATCAGAAGGTGCAATGTCTGGTGAATATTCTGGGTGCAGCAAAACTTACCATTCGAGCTGCAACTTTTGCAACGCGTGGCCGAACTTTGTCATGCAAGAGGATGACTTTGCGTCTGTTGATGGTCTTTTGTGTAATCATACACGGATCAATTTGTTCAATTGATGTCGTTACCCATTTGGAGTAACAGTTCCATTCGGTTTTAGCAGCTCACAATATACCACCATATGCAAAGCAAGACTTTATGTCCGTGAATGCTCCGCTTTGACGTTGACATGGATAGCTCTCCTGAACGAACAAATAACTTTTTACGCTTGGAATTGTCGTAATAAATCCTTTTTTCACCGCCAGTCACAATACATCACTGTTCTTTTTTTGCCCTAAAATGACACCCCCTATGCTGAAACGCTTCGAAAGGGCATTTTCAGTCAATTCGTATCGTACCAATTTTCCTTTTCTTCGCATTTCCCATCGCATATAAACATCTACAAACAGTAGATATTTCAAGTGCTAAGCTTTTCGAAAGTTTTGTGAGAGTGCGGGCTGGGTTAAGTGTTGCAATTCATTGTGCTCGAACTTTTTTGGTCTCTCAAGCCGTTCTTTGTCAGTCGCATCAAAATCACAACAATCCTCTACATTTCGATAGCAGTTTTCTAAAAATATATTCATGGGATCAAAAACGACAAAAGAAAATTTGAAAAAAATGTCGGCGTTGTTCAAGATAACATTAGTTTCTTCTGCATTGTGGGCATACATGCGAAAAAATTGCATTTATTTGTCAGATATTTTTCAACGATCAGGGAATGTTTGTGCTAAATTTTTGTTTCCTATCTTTATTTTCGAGGCTGTAAGAATTCGCTAAATTTACATGTCAAATTAGGGGTTATCAGTGAAAATAAGTATACACAGCCGCGTTTGCATCAAAATAGCAAAAGTGGGTATGCCACAAAAAAAAGAGTAGAGATGTATATTCATTGCATTTTGTCATCAAATTCCATCATGTCACATTTAGGAACATCTATTTCCTCATGCTTGATTTTTAAAATTAAAATTCCGTTAAATAGACTGGCGTCGGTAAATCTAGTGCTAAATTAGCTATTATTTAATTGAACTAAAAGATGGAGAATAATTTTAGAACTTTTCCCTTTCATGTGACTGTACAATAATACTTTCTGGAGTTTAAAAAAAACATCGTAAAAATATTAGGCGCTTCAAGCTTACAAATTATATCTTTCATCTTTTAGTTCACTTAAATAAAAGCCCGTTAAAAAATGCTTTTTTGATATAACTTATTTATTCTTAGTATATAACTTATTTTTATTTGGTGGCAATCTTTTCTGAAATGTTATATTTGGAATAGATAATACCCAAATATCGTTCCCAATTTCTCTCTCTATCAATGTTTGACGCAAACATTACAATTTCAATCATATATGCAGACACAGTATCACCTCGTTTACAAATGAATATGTGAAATGTAATTCTTATTGGGTAAGATATAACGAAGCGATTTATAAAATTAGTGTCTTCACCCAATGTCTTGACATAGACAGGAAAATAAAAAGAACGAAGAAAGAAAAAGGCAAACGAACATTGAATCAACAATCAATCACAAATAAACGTTATAACCTATTTAATAATTGCCACTTGGTGAAACAAGAAAATAGAAATTAAAATTGTTATATTAAAATTTTAAATATCACAACTTTTAAAATTCTTATTATACCGAATGTAATTAAGATACTAATATTGGTACTAAAATTATTAATATTAATTAAGAAAGTGTTAATAATAATAGCTAACAAGTGAAAATGATATACAACGGTATATTCGGCAAAGCACTTGTGCAATGAATTGCGTATTAATCCATAGAATATTTCGACGATTTCTCTGTACATATAGCCCTATGTCTTTAATATCACAATCTTCAAGGAAAGCTTGTTAGTTTTAATTATTATATATGCCCAAACCGTCCGCAGGTATTCTGTGCGTTTTATACAAAAGAGTGCTTTTAATCGATGTTTTATAAAAAGGAAACACTATAAATGAAGATGAAAATGTGATATGAGCTGGCATAAATTTTCGGTTTTTATCCATCCCCTTTGAAGAAGCCAAACGACTCCATTTAGAACTGTTACAGACCAATTAACTTAAATACGTATAAATTGTTTGCATAATTGGGTTGTTGAAATCGATTCTTATAAAAAATTCACTGCAGCTTTAATATGTGTGCACGCCACATCCCGTATGTAACAGTAGTTGTGCAGTTCTGTGTAGAATTGAATTCATTCTGCGTAAGATTGAGACAATTCTGCTTTTTTATTCTACCTTTATTTTATGTATTTATTATTATTATTATTTTAATTTTAGACTAATAAATTGAATTCTTACACTAAAAAAAGACATTGAGCACTAGCAACACAGGCTATCGGCTCTAATTTAAATGAATGGATATTAGATAATAAGCTTAGTAGTATTAATAAAGTAAAGTATTGAATTGATATTCTGTTCTGAAGCTGATTGTAGAATGTTCAAAGGGTTAATCGTTCCAAATGCAATACTTCTAGCCAAGGAAAAGTTGAGGCAGTGGCAGAGAATGTGCTTTATAGTAAGAGTTTGTCCACAACAGCAGATTGGGGGAGAAGACTTCTTCAGGATCCATCGGTGAGTTGCAATTGTACGACCAAGGCGAATTCTCGAAAAGGTTTGAATCTTGGCTTTCTCAACATTTGTTGGATATAGAGGTAGAGTTAATTGAGGGTTAATGCAAGAGTAGTGTTGATGATGGTATTGTAAATTTCCTTCTGCAATTTTCTCTTTAACTTTTCTTCCAATGTATCTTTGAAGATCCAACTTTTCCATGACATCATCCATAATTAGAGGAGCAGAAGCAGCATACTTTGCCGCTCGATCAGCCTGCTCATTTCCCAGTAAACCGATGTGACTTGGTAACCATAACATTTTAATTTTTCCGTCGGGTGTAGTAATTATATTCCTTAATTTGTTGATGGTGCTCCATCCGAAGGGTTCCGAGTAGCTAGTAATACATCCAAATTGTCAGTAACAATGACGGTTTTGAGTTTATTTTTATGGACAAGGTTCGCAGCGTGAAAGGTAGCTCTGGCTTCGGTGGTAAAAGTTGAAGTACTTTCGTGAAATATGTGGTTGAGAAGAACCCGTCCTGTAGCATCTACCACCGCAGAAGCAGCAGGCAGACCAGGAGATCTTGAGCCGTCTGTGTACAAAAGATTCCAACCAGTAGTCTCCAATACTTCAGCTATTAGATTCCTGAAGACGTAATTTGGAGTATCTTCTTTCTTGTGCATAGACAGTGAGATGTCAAAAGAGCAGTCTTTCAAAATCCAGGGAGGTTTAACACCAAAAGAGCGGAAAATTTTTAAGGGAATGTTCAATTCCTTTGCGATGCACAAACAATGGTCAATTGCAGATGGTGACTTTGGAATTTTCTTCGCAATAATAATCTTTTTTACGTCATCACCGAGAATGGATTTGTTTGAATTAAGAAGCTTAGCTTTTAACTCATACAGTCTATTTTCTATAGTTGGGAGACCAGTTTCAATTATAATATTATTTATGGGCGTCGACCGAAAAGCATAACAACTTGCTCTAACGGCTTGCTGATAGACCGGTTTAAGGATGTTGATATTAGATTTGCAGCTATTGCCATAAATTATCAAAGCATAGTCAATCTTGCTTAACACAAGCATTTTGGTAAGATAAGCGATAGTGTTAATATGCGCATGGCTTCTCCAAGCAACGTACTGTATGAAATTTACCCTTGTTAAAAGGGAGTTTTTTAACCGAAGGCAGTGTGCTTTCCAACGATAATTGTTTGAAAACGTGAGCCCGAGAACATGGAGCGTCTGCACATTTAGTACTGGTAAGTCGTTAATATACATCAGTAGGTTTCCTGCATCGCACATTTGTTTTCGACAAATGTGCATTTTTTTGATTTTTGTATAGAGATTATAGCTTCTGACGAGTTTGCCCATGTGGAGATCTCACATGCAATAGATTCGAGGATGTTGATTGCTTTCGTCTTGTCTTTTTCTTTTGTAAAAATGTATACATCGTCCGCGTAGAGACAATGTTCCACTCTTGGTACACGGCAAAGAATTTCGCTAATTTCGTTGAAAGCGATCTGGAAAAGCGTGACAGAGAGAGGAGAACCTTGCGGAATGCCATTCTTTAGCGGAAAGGAACCAGAAAGATGATTGCTGATTCTAACTTTGAACCGTCGATGCGACATGAATGATTTGATGTAGTTGAAGGATTTGGGTCCAACATTCCATGATTTCAAGAGTCTTAAGATAATATGAAGACTAACTCTGTCAAATGCTTTTTCGAAATCAGTTAAGAGAATTGTTACGTGATTTCGTTCGGAAATTGCTTTGCTTGTGAAATAATCAATATGTAACAGAGCATCCTCTACACCGCTTGAAACCGACTCGTTGCTTTGTTATCAGGTTCTTAGATTCAAGAAACCAAGATAATCTAGATGCCATAATCTTCTCTAAAACCTTAGA